ATCCGAGGGTCACTTTGCATTTACTGAGGCCCTATGGAGAGTCAGCAACTGGCGGTGGGTTGTAGAGAGCAGTGCTCTCTGGATCTCATCTCTCTGTTTGTAAATTGAGAGGGTGGGGCCACATGGTGTCTAAGAGAGGGTGTACCTTACGAGGCAGGAGTTTCTCAGCCTGGTTTTGCATCAGAATCATCTGCTGAGAGAGAGATGCCTGCTGTCTGGCCCCCATTTCTGATGCAGTCGGATGTTTAAGATCTCAGGTGACTGCAGTGCGCAGCCAGGGTGGAGAACCACTGTACTTGCCTGAAAGGGCTTGGGGTTGGACTGATCTGGTGTTGGAGTTCTGGCTTTATCACTTGGAAGTCCCAAGGCATTTATTTAATGTCTCTGGGTCTCAGTTTTGCAAATCTGTAAAATGGAAATTATGACATCTACCTCATAGGAGTAAAACAGGAAAATTAGGTACATTGGTAAAGTGACACCCAGGGCAGGCTGTCAGTGAGTCTCCACTCCCTTCTGACTTTCTGTTAGGCAGGGATGTTCCTCACCTGTTGATGGACACGTGGATTATTTCTGCCTTCTGGCTATTGTGAATAATACTGCTATGAACATGGATATGTAAGTATCTGTTTGAGTCCTATCACTGCTCTCAATTCTTTTGGGTAAACACCTAGAAGTGGAATTGCTAGAACAAATAAGTTTATGTTTAATGTTTCCTTCTGTTCATCACATCCTCTTTTCCACCCACAGGGCTTTGCATCTGTGAGTCCCTCTGCCTGATCTTGCCTCCTCTGAACCTTGCTCAGTTGACTTCTTATCGTTTAAGTGTTAGCCTAAATTCTTGCTTCTTCTGCAAAGCCTTCTCTGGTCCCCCAAACTAAATTACCCACTTTTTAATCTCACTTATATTATTGCGTTCATTTGCTCTGTAACACTTTCCATACTTTGTCATTATATAGCAAGTAACTTACTTTTTCAAACTCCTGTTAAACTCCCAGTTCTGAGCTCAGTGGCTGGTACATAATAGCAGCTCAATGAAACTGTCTCATAAAGTCTCGGCTCTCCTGACACTCACGTTTATGACAAGCCGAGGCTGAATGGGATGCAGAATGATGGTGTAGGTACTACGGGCAAGGGAGTAACTTGGAAGGGGAGAAAGGAAAACCAGAGTTTTGACTTTCAGCTTGTGTTTTGATCTGGCTAAAAGGACGTGATTCATTCGAGTTCCTCCTGATAGGATGAACTCTGCTTCCAGGGCACAGGCAGTCAGCAGGGGCATTTAGAATGTGGGCTCTTCCTGCCTTAGATTGTATCCTGGCCCTATCACTGTCTAGTTTTCTTCATCTGTAAGATGGAGATCATAATGTTACCTACCCCCTACACTTGTGGTGAGTATTAAATGAGTTACCATGTATAAAGTGCTTAAAGAGGGCCTGGCACATAGAAAGCTCTCAGTCAATGGTAGCTCTTATTATTATTATTTATTAACGTTCACTCTGATGCTATAGAGATATAGATTATAAGCGAGGGTTAGAGAGCTCTGCCAAGTGCTTCCTTCTGTCGAGCACTCAGGGATGGCTCTTGAAGGGGGCTGTCCATCTCTGTCTCTGATCAGGTCCAGGATTAAGGGAGTTTTACTTTTTGCTTTTTAGCATCCTTCTAGGACTGTTCTCTGTCATATAGTTAGGAGGGGGTCACTACAATCATTATCAACACAGTGTACCAAACAGGGAAATCAGGACAGATAGGAGGTTGTGTCTTCCACACAGAAGCTGAAGGAGCTCTGGACTCTGCCTCTTCCCATCCCTGGCTGCTAGAGCTTGGGTTTGTGATCCAAGCATGGGCAACAAGGTACTTCTGCCATGGAATCCTGGGTGGTCTTGATAGCTTCAGGCATAGGTGTAGGGTCATATAGAGGTTCTTCTTGGCCTCTATGGAAGATTCAAGGGTCCAAGTTATGACACATGTCTGGTGGTGGCAAGTATCCAGGGGTGGTGATGCCTGTGGGAGCATCAAAAACCAATCAAAAACCATCGCTAGGCCAATGGTTGGTTTTTGATTGCTTTGTTCTGTTTTGGGATGGGTCTATTTTATTTTACAGTAAGAAAATATATATAATAACAAAATCCAATAGGAATTCAGTAATTGTTTCTTTAAATAATGCATTTTTGAGCTCTAACTCATACTGTACAACTCACCTATTTAAGGTATACAAGTCATTTGTTTTTAGTATATTTGCAGAATTGTGCAACTATCCCTAAAATAAATTTTAAAACATTTTTATTCATAGAACCCATTAGCAGTCACTCGCCTCTTCCCCTTGCCTCCACCCCCTACCCCATGCAACACCAGCCTGTTTACTTTCCCTATAGATGATAAACTATTCTGCAATCAGGATTTAAGATGTACCTTCCTTCCATGAACGAAAGGTTCCTGCTTATATTTTGTATTCAGGTTATCTATTGTTGCATAACAAATGACCCCCAAATTTAGCAGTGTAAAACAAAACATATTTATTTTCTTACAGTTTTTGTGGGGCAGGAGTCCAGGTACAGCTTAGCTGGATCCTCTGCCCCGAGATCTCTCACGAGGCTGCAGTGTGTTGGTCAGGGCTGCGATCTTGCTTGAAGGCTCGACTGAGGAAGGATCTGCTTCCAAGCTCACTCATGTAGTTGTTGGTAGAATTTGGTTCCTTGAGAGCTGTTGGACTGGGGGCCTCATTTCCTTACTGACTGTTGGCTGGAGGAATCCTCAATTCTTTGCCACGTGGGCCTCCCCAACATGGCAGCTTGCTTTATCAAAGCCAGCTCAAGAGAGAATCTGCTAGCAAAACAGAAGTCACAATATTTTGTACACTAATCATGGAACTGACATTCCCTCAATATTGCTATATTCTTTTGGTTAGAAGCAAGTTACTAATAGGGAAGAGACTACACAAGGCCATGCATGTCAGAAGGTGGGGAGCACATGGACCATCTTGGAGGTGGCATAGCCTGTCCTGCAGGACCATCCCTGAGGCCTGTCCTGCAGGACCATCCCTGAGTTCTCTAGGCTGCTCCATATATTTTTTAATTCCTGCTTTTGTTTTTGTTTTTGGCTTGAGCTAACCAGAATCAATGACTCTTGTTTGCATCCACACTGCCATACTTGTTTGTTGCTTATGATTCTGTCATCTTGTGATTCTGGTTTCTATTGATTTAGCACCTTTCTCTGTGAGGTATGAGCTACTTGGTAAAGTATTTGGCATTACCCATTACTCCTTTTATCCCCTCAAAGTCACCAGTTCTGTGTCTGAATATTTCATTACCTCAGAACCAGCTGGTAAGCATCCATCTGAACACTTGTTTGAATATGAGTCTTCACAAAGATCATAGAAGAAAAATTAAGAACAGAATTAGCACTGTCAAAATAGGAAAACTGAATCCTGTTAATGGGAGAGCCCATAAATCTCACATTCATCCCAGAATGTGTTTTTGTGGTTTTTCCTCATTTAAGTCATGACCAGAGGGTTGGTTTCCTCCCCAGAGCTTCAGGAGAATTTAAGCATCAGAAATCCAGTGCAAGCTCGTTTAAGCAAGAAAATGAAGTCTGTTGGCTCGGGTAACTGGGACATACTGTGGAGGCTCCCAGGATCAAAAGAAGAATGACAGAGCTCCTAGGTCAGCAACCAGTGACTCAAGACAGGTTTAGCTCTTGTGGGCATCTTCATTGTCTTCATGTCTCACTTTCTTGGCCTCAAGATTTGCTGTTGTAATCAGGTTTTCTCAGCTTGGTAATATGTAATGTTTGGTAAACCCTAGCTTAGACTTTGAGCCAGAAGAGAGAAAATCATTGGTTCAGGTGTTTATTCTCATGTCCCGGAAGACAGGGCACTATGCTAGGCAAGGGCCAGGTCACATGGCCAAATTCCAGTTGTTAGAAGAAGGACCATGGGAAACCAACAGCCACTACTGCACAGAACAGGCGCTGCTGTGAACCATTGTCGATGCCATAGGGATAGACAGAGAACCATGCAAATGACCCCTAAATTATTGGAGATTCCCAAAAGGACAAGACAATGTCAGTGGTAAAGGCCTGACTGGCAAATGTAGATTAGAGTGATCCTTTTTTAGACAATTGTCTTCATGGAGTCTTGGAATTAATTTTATTGCACCCAAGGTCCAGCCTACTGGTGAAATAGAATCACACTGAATTTTTCCATTCTAGATTTTACTTGTTCCCTGACTACTTGATAGTTAAAACAGAGACAAGAAGGCCAGGGATGACAAGGAAAATGACTGTCCATTTCATGGACTCATGACCAAGGTTAAATTACAGTAACAAAGGAGGCCAGAGCTTTTTATTTGCTGCCGCATTCTGTGATTCATGGGCAGATTGTTGTTTGTTTTTTGCTTTTAACCTTTCAAGTAAGGAATGATTTGTCATGTTCATGAAACCCACATATATTCAGGGACCGCTTATTCTTAGAGTTAAGGGTAAATCTTGTTTTTAGAACCAAATCAATATAGATTGAGATCAAGATTGGTCAAACACTTCTGGAAGATGTAATATTGTGCTCTCTTTAAATATGTTTATTGACACCAATAATGGGCACTGCCACTTAGAAATATGCTCTTCATATATCTCTCACCCTTTAATGGGTGCCAATTAAGAGGTGACGTAGAGCTCAATCTCCGCCCTGCTGAGAGTGTACGTGTGAGATTGAATTGCGAATGTACATTGACATGGTTGTGACTTTGCATCAAGACTGGCAAGAAACATTAGCAAATAAAAGATTTGCTGTAGGGAAAAATATTCAAAGGTCAAAGTTTGCTGAAGAAAGTTCTCTGCTTATGCATGGTACTTGGATGCTACAAATCAAAAAGGCTGCCTCCTCTCAAGTTGTTGATTCTTCATGTCGCAGATTTCTCCCCTGACACCATTTCACGTGTGTCCCTGTTCAGGAGAGAAAAAGCATGGGGGATGTTTGAAAGCTCGGGGACCATTGTTGATGTTGTCCCTGCTTGTGTCTTGCAGCCTACTTCTGCTTCCTCCTGGCCGCTCTGGGTGTGACAGCTGGTGCCCATCGCTTGTGGAGCCACAGGTCCTACAAGGCCAAGCTGCCTCTGAGGATATTTCTGGCTGTCGCCAACTCCATGGCTTTCCAGGTGAGGATGGAGGGCCCTCTCTGTGTTGGGGGACCCAGTGCAGATGGCAGTATGGGAGGAGGGGAAAGATGGGCTGACACCCCTCCATCCCCGTCCTAGACTCAGTGTTCAGGCCCCAAGCACGCCCAGTCTATCCCAAGTTTTTATCTCTTTGTAGCTTTTAGATACGGTAAAATGTCCCCTGGGGGGTTTTGTGCCCTAAGGCATGCTGAACTACTGAGGAGAAAGGAGATTCCTCTATCCAGAGCCCATGCTGTGAACATACCCTGAAAGCCTCAACATTTGTCCAGCCCTAACCAGGGGCCAAGTTCTGTGATAAGCACACTGGTATGCATATAGTATTTGATCCACACAGTAGCCCTGTGAACTAGATGCTACACGTCTCCATTTTACAGATGAGGAGAATGAGGTTCAGTGATGTAAAAGAACCTGCCCAAATCACATACCTAAAAAATAGTACGTTCAGGGCTAGGCGAATGCAGGCCAGCCTGACTCCAAGTTATTGCTCTTCCAAAACCTAGTCCTGAAGTAGCCCTGCAAGGTCCTCGTGGAAAGATTATTCCATCTGAAGTTTGAAGACTCAGGGATTTTACTGTGATGGGTGCTAGCTGTGAATCACTTCCTCAACTTCAGTTTCTTTATCCGTAAAAATAAGAACAAAACTTCATTCTCAGGGTTGTTATAAACTCAGTGAAAACTGCAAGGGGCTATAAAAATGTAAGAGACGGTCATCACTGTACTAGGATTGGGCTATATTCTTTAGGACTATTCCAGTCCTAGGCCATTCCCCACCTCCTTGGGTACTTTCCTTGGGTACTTTTGGTTTGGTCATGGATCTCTGTTTTCCCAATTCCTAATCTGAGTGAGAACAACTTGTTTTCAAAATTTCTACCCACATATGAGTGTAGATGATTCTGGGCCCCGTGCATTTTCACTCATTGGGAAGGAATCGTGATTGCCAAAAGTGCTGTAGAGTCCAGGGAAACAGGTGACCCAGGAGCTTCCCTGTGGCCCTCAGACACACAGCTCACGTGGCCACGTCTGCCATGGGCTTCCCACTCCTACGAGACAACCTGATGCGGAATATTTCTCTAAGTGCTCTTGTAGCTCAGAATTCATTTCCTTATTTTAGGCTTCTCTCATACAGTTTGACTTTTCCTAAGGTAAATAGGATATAACACGATGGGTCAATTAGGGAACACAATTGGTGATGTGTATATATACTGCTTGTAATTCAAGCACAGTCAGGAATTAGTACTGAGGTTCTAGGAAATAAGCTATTAAGCATAAGGGAGCAGTTGGCAGCTTCCTGGTTCCATGTCCATGTGTTCACCACTGGTAGTGTGAACTATGCTGTACTTTATTTTGACTTCAACCATCTTATTTCAGTGTTGTGCTTTCAAAATAATAATTGACTTAGGTCTTAGATGATGTTCAGGACCTAACTTGATAATTTTTATTTCTTGTGTTCAAGCAATCCTTTCTTAATAGCCTCCAATGACACACTCATGTAGTTATAAAACATTTCATTATTGGACTTTTTTTCCAAGATAAGTAACTTGTAGCTGAAGCTTAAAACTCTGATTTTTTTTTTCTCATGAAACTATTTGTTTATAACTCAAAATTTGAAAACCTAAGTTTTCTTAACAAAACACCACATAACAGAATATTAGACTGTGACTTAAAATTTATTTTAAGGAGAAAGTACACTGTAGATAGAAGTACCCAGGTCCTAGAATAAATTCTTGGCTCTGCCATTTGCTAGATGTGAGCCTTTCTGCAAGTATTAGTTCCTTTATCTGCAAGGGGGGCAATAATAATATTTGCCTCACAGAGTTGCTGGGAAGATAAAATAATGAATAAAAAGTACTAAGCTTATGGTAGCACCTGGTGAATATTGTTCTCACCTTCTCTTTTATGAGAATTGATATATTGTTTAATTGGTTTCTGTATGCTAATGTCTGTCATATAGAAAACAATACATGATTGTTAGGTAAATTAAAAAAATGAACAGCTTTAAAATATAGTTTTAGAAACCATCAAATTTGAACTATGCATACTTTTTCAAGGCCCACATTTGTAGTGGATTTTTAAAATTCATTCAACAAATACTTATTGAGCACCTACTATGTGGCAGGCACTGAGAAGGCACAGTGAGAATAACAATGAGCAAAGAGTCACAAGCTTCACCTTCATGGAGCTTTTCTGTCTAGCAGGATACTAGAATCCCCACAGTTTCCCAGTGGAAATTTCAGTGTTTTGTGGGCCTGGGGTTTTATAACAATGTCACGTAGACCTAGGTGGAAGGTACCTCTATAAGATCAGCATAGGGCCAGTTTCCATAACATGCAGAACTGTGTCAGTGGGAGAGCACCAGAACAGAACTAGAACTAGTCAGTGTCTAGAACAGTTTATTTAAACCACTTAACCCTGTGAGGAGAACAGCCTGGGGAAGTGAAAAAATGCTATGATCTGCCAGTGTAGAGTGGTGACTTATAACCCTGACTTAATGCAGTCGTTGATTTAGTTGCCCTTTGATAATCCATGGGTTTTTAAAGATAGTTTCAAAGATTCTCTCTCTTCTCTCCTTCGGTCATGCTGTTGGCCAAAATGGACAAGTCATGCCATAACTGTCTCTGTTTGGGAGCAGCAGGGCTTTTGCTAGATGCTACAAACAAGACCTTGAGCATTAAGAACAGTGTTCTTAAAGTTGAGACTTAAACATTTTAAACTCCTTTTCTTTTTCTTCTATAGAAGATGTATGTGTGGGGCTGAGAGGCAACGGTATGAAAGGTGGAGATACTTTTAGTTTAAAAAGATGATGATGGGCTGGGCGTGGTGGCTCATGCCTGTAATCCCAGCACCTTGGGAGACCAAGGCGAGTGGATCACCTGAGATCAGGAGTTCAAGAGCAGCCTGGCCAACATGGCAAAACCTTGTCTCTACTAAATACAAAAGTTAGCCGGGCATGGTGGTGCATGCCTGTAGTCCCAGCTACTTGGGAGGCTGAGACAGGAGAATCACTTGAACTCAGGAGGCAGAGGTTGCAGTGAGATGAGATCATGCCACTGCACTCCAGCCTGGGTGATAGAGTGAGACTCCATCTCAAAAAAAAAAAAAAAAAGAAAAAAAAAAGATGATGATGAGGCAGGAATGCCTGACAAGGAGCTATATAAAATCCTCTGTCCCCTCTGAACCCTTGTATTCAGCAAAGATCCCCTGAGTTCCTCTCTGGTCTATCCTCCTTCCTTGCCAGTAGGATGAAGTCAACCTAAAGACTGCTTGCAACTTCCTTATAATTTGCTCCAAGTCAAAGATGGACCCAGGTGACATATTCCTGTTCTCCAAGAGTTAAGTTTTCACAGGCAAGAGCCAGGATTCGGATTTGTGCTGTCACGCTCATGCATCTGCTCCTGCTGGCTGCATCTGGGTCTCTCACGGATCCAGTCCAATCAAAAACACCTACAAGATGCTTCAGCCCACTCCCTCATGGCTCATATTTCCTCATCAAGTCATGGTAATGAGGCATTGGATTGAGAGCTGGAAGAGAACTAAAGGGATTTAGCTTAAATTCTGTATTTTACAGAGGAGTAAACAGAGAATACTAGTGACTTCTCAAAGTTCACACAGCTAATTAGTGGATAGACTGAAAGCCCACTTTCCTGATTCAGGCCACCCATTAGATATTCTTATATGCTGTCCTACAGCGTGATTTCTAAACAATACAGAATTGAGTCTTTTTTTTTTTTTAATCCTCTCTGACAGTCTGTCTTTTAATTGGTGTATTTAGACCATTCACACTTAAAGTAATTATTGATATAGTTGGACTAATATCTACCAAGTTACCAATTATTGATATAGTTGGATCAATATCTACCAAGTTTCTGTTTTCCATTTGCTGCCCTTTTTCTTACTTTTAATTTGTGTATTCTACTCTTTTTCTATTTTTATGTGGTTTCAATGCACCATTTTGTATAAGTCTATTTTCTCTCCTCTCTTAACATATCAATTATACTTCTTTTTAAAAAATTTTTATGGATTGCCCTAGAATTTGTAATATACACTTACAGCTAATCTAAACCCACTTTCAAATAACACTATACCACTTCATAATAGTATCTGCAGTAACACAAGGACCTTATAACAGTCTATTCCCAATTTCTCCCTCCTGTCTTTTAAGACGTTGTTGTCATTCATTTTACGTATCCATAAGCTATAATCACTAAACAAATTGTTACTATTCCTATTTTGAACAAATTGTTATGTGTTAGATTAAGAATAAGAAAAATAAAAGTTTCTATTTTACCTTCACTTATGTGGATCCGGGTTTCTGATATAATTTTCCTTCTCTCTGAAGAACTCCTTTTACCATTTTCTGCAAGGCAAGTATACTGGTGACAAATTCCCTCAATTTTGGTTTGTCTGAGAATGTCTTTTTTTTTTTTTTTTTTTTTAGAGACAGGATCTCACTCTGTCACCCAGGCTGGAGTGCAGTGGAGCAATCGTGGCTCACTGCAGCCTTGAACTCCTGGGCTTAACCACCCCTCCCACCTCAGCCTCCCTAGTAGCTAGGACTACAGGCACATAGCACCACACCCAGCTTGAGAAAGTCTTTATTTCTACTTCATTTTCAAAGAGTAATTTTGCTGAGTACAGAATTCTAGGTGGGTGGATTTTTCTGTTTTAATATTTAAATATTTTATTTCACTTTCTTCTTGCTTGCACGGTTTCTGAAGAGAAACGTAGTATAATTCTTCTCCTCTCTCCTCTATAGGTAAGGAGGGATTTTTTCCGCTCTGGCTTCTTTCAAGATTTTCTCTTTGTCTTTGATTTTCTGCAGTTTGAATATGATAATACCTAAGTACTAGCCAGGCATGGTATAAACCCTAAGTGTAGGGTTTTTTGGTGTGTATCCTGTTTGGGGTTTTCTGAGTTTCCTGGATCTACGGTTTGGTGCTTGTCACTAGTTTGGAAAATTCTCAGCCATTATTACTTAAATA